GCGATCAACAAGGATAAAAGAGGAACCTGATCACGAATTCTCTTTGCCGTATAAGCGCTACAAAATCAGTTCTCTGTCGCTCTCTCTCTCTGTCTCCAATAAGCTTACTGTGCGATCAACAAGGAGCAAAATCGAATCTGATCAGGAGTTCTCTTTTCCAATCTCTCTTTCCTCCAGTCTCTCAGTTTCTTTATTTGTATTTTTTTTTCACTTTTTTTAAAATTGATTTGGTGATTGTGCAGAATTGGCTTTCTTTTATTTTTCCTTTTAATTTGTCCATTTCATTCTGTGTTTTCCGTCTATATCTCTTTCAATCTTTCTCAGAATTGAGTTTCTTTTTATAGTTTCTATTTCATTCTCTGTTTTTCATCTATATCTCTTTCTTTCTGAGAATTGCGTTTATTTTGTTATTCCTTTTAGTTTCTGTCTTTCATTCTGTGTTTTTCATCTACATATCTATCTATTTGAGTTTCACGCAGGAGCAATGAATTCTTCAACGTCGAGAAATCATCTTGAGGAACTTGTTTGGAAAAGAAAGTCAAGAGAAAACGTAAGATTAAAATTTTGCTCATGATTAAATTATATTTATATGCGTTTTATCTGCTTTATTCTTGATAAAGATAAAGAACTAGATTACCGTTTCTGCCTTATCATGGGAATTTTTATGTATAGGGTCAGAGCAGTTATAATCTTGCCCCCTTTGCATTTTACCTTGGTTTCAATACTCCAATTGTTAGTGTTATATTATATTTTCTTCTTGAGCCGATGATTCTTTAGTTGCTTTTTGCTGGTCATTATGGTGATTCAAACTTTTGGTTCATTAACCTAGTTCTGCCAACCTCTTTCTATCATAGAAAAGAAAAATTACTTGTGAATTTTCTTATAATAGTTCAAATTTGTCCGAGTTAGTCCATTTCTTGGGAAATTTCTGTATTACAGATCATTACTGGAGTCCACATTGGTGGTGTTTTGACCTTTTGCATCCCCATTTGCTAAATTATTTTCTAAAAAGAGTACAGTTTGATCAACTATTTAGATTTAGAACTTAGAATGGTAATTGTCACCGAGAATCCGTTATTCTTCTACATTTTTATTCAATTAAGTTTCAACATTCTAATTAAATCACATCTGGTTTCACTCAACATTTATTTTTGATTAAAGTAAAAATGTATAATGTTTAAACCTATATTTGTAAAGATACCCTTAATTCATATATATATATATATATATATATATATATTTTTGTTTTGGATAAAAACTCCTGCTTATCTTCAAAGGATACTCAATAGATACATATATATCCACACGTTTATGATTGTTGATGTTTCTTTCAAGTTTCTAAGTAAATATTGCTTGTCGTGTGAACAGTTCGATAGATTCATTCCAAATAGGTCAGCTATGGATTTCGATTACGCACGGACAATGTTGACGGGGAGGAAAGGCAAAGAAAACGCAGCAGCTGCATGTTCTCCTGAAAAGAATGCTTACCAGAGGCGTCTGGCGGAGGTGTTTAATATGAATGGGAGACGGATCTTGGCATTCAAGAACAAGCCACCAGTACCAATAGATTTGTTTGCAGACAAGATGGTTATGTCTTTTCATCATTCTAAACCCATAAAGCCTCATCGACAGATTCCTCAGGTTTGTTATTTTTGTAGTCTGTATAATAAATTATGCTTGAAACTTGAAACAATTAGTTCCGGGCCTTTTAAAAACCAGCAAATGTGTGTTTAGATTGGGGCACACACATTTTTATCGTATCGTGGAATCAAAAAGTTATAGTTGATGGCTATTAATCTTTCAAGGTTCATGTAAATGGGGAAACTTTATCATTGAGTTATTTTTTAACTGAAAATAAATAAAAATCTGACCTTATTGTGGAAAGAGTCAAGAGAATCTAAAGCAACGCAACTTATGCTAGGGGTTAATAAAAGTGCTTTATAACTTCTTTGATGTTAATTTTATTATTATATTCTCTTTCGAAAATGTTGTTGTCTATGTAATGGCTCTGCTGCCATTAAGAATCTGAAAATTTGCTTTTGACTTTTTACAGAGGCCAACAAGAACACTTGATGCTCCTGATCTTGTGGATAATTTTTATCTGAATTTGCTAGACTGGAGCATTAACAATGTGATAGTAATTGCTCTGGGTTGCACAATATATTTGTGGAATGCTTCAGATAGTTCTATCTTTGAACTCGTGACATTTGATGAAGAAGATGGTCCAGTTACAAGTGTTAGCTGGGCTCCTGATGGTCAGCATATTGCAATTGCTCTTAGTAATTCTGATGTTGAACTGTGGGATAGCATCTCGAACCGAAAGGTTAGCAATCTTCACTGTTGGCTTTTCTTATAAGTAGACAATTTTTTTCATGAGCTGACAATTTTCTTCTTATTTTTCTTATTGCACAGCTGAGAACACTGTCAGGTGGTCGTTGGTCTCAAGTAAATTCTTTGGCTTGGAACCAGCACATACTTACGACCGGAGGAATGGATGGTAAAATCATAAACAACGATGTTAGAATAAGAGAAAACATTGTTGGAACATATGTGTGACACCAACAACAGATCTGTGGATTAAAATGGTCAGCCTCTGGCCAAAAATTAGCAAGTGGAGGAAATGATAATCTTGTATTTATTTGGGACCAGTCTAACCCTCTATGATTCTCCGAGACAGTGGCTTCACAAATTGAGGTCACAGAGCCGCAGTGAAGCCCTCACCTGTGTCATTCCAGGCAAATTTGTTG